AAAAAAAAAACGAAACACTGGCTCAAATGACAGCTTTAGTCTCTCAATATTAACAAACAACTTATTATGTTACTTTTTACAAAGTAGCTTGTTGCTACAGCAGCTACATCGGTACCCAAATTTAAGAAAATTTATGTTTACAAATTTATTTTGAAATTTTGATTGTTTAGTTACTTTAGTCAAATACACTTTAAATGTTATTTACATATCCAATTATTTGATGAAGGTTATTCTGTAAAGTCTGTAATCTTAAAACATAATATGGAAGGTACCGTATATATATTTCTGCATTATTTTAAGATCTTTATATACACCTGCTGCCTGTTACACAATTAAAACAATTTAAGGCGCCATAGAAAATTAATGTAAGTCATTAAAACATAATGAAATTAAATAAAGAATTGATAACATCAAAAAGTATATTCATATATGCAGTATTGAGTTCTGTTTTTTAGCAAATAACTCACATTATATAAAATCCTGGGATACCGGGATCCCGGGATTTTATTTACTTCAATCCCGAAATCCCGGGATCGTAATTCATGCCCAGGATTGCAATCCCTACTTTTAATGGATGTTACGTTTTGCATAACGAAACATTTCAACAACTTGGATTTCATTGTAGAAAATATTTCCTTCTCAGTGCAATTAAAAAGGACAACAATCACATCATTTATATGGAAAAGAAGGAAAAAGAAGTAACAAAATCAAGGAGGAGAAAATTGAGAGGTATAAGATAAAGTTGTTTTATTTTGTTTTTGTTGCGTTTTCTCTGCTAACAGATTTTTAAACTTTGAACAAGAATATCTTATAGCTAGCTGTTGTCAAGATATTGACATAGGTAGCACAAATTTTACATAAAAATAAAAAATTATTTTTTAAAGTGCAGCCAATTTGATTCTGTAAAAGTTCTGATGATGATTCTGGTCAATTCCTCAATCAACATATTGTTAACCTTTTTGCAAAATTTTAGCCTCACACATTGAGAAATTCTTGTTTAAAAATGTAGTTAAAATTGCATAGTTTTTTCTGACTTAGTATGTTTTTGAGTATAATTATACTTTTTATTATATTTACTAAACAATTTTAAATAAACAATTTTATAATACACACAGTTTAAAAAAATTATTGCATTAAAATTAAATAAATTGACTGTTTTAATTTTTATGGACTAGTACTACCTTAACAGGATTCTACTGTATATCTACACACTGGTGTAGTAAAAGCCATTTTTTACTTTTTAGTCCATTTTTAAATTGTTGCCCTTAAAAGGTTTTTTTTAAATATTCATTTTTTTTTTTAGTCTTCTTTATATTTCTACGTTAATGCAAAAAAGTATTATAAATTAAATGTTGTAAAAAATAAATTAAACCACTTAACAAAAAAAATGCAATTTTAAATTTTATCTCGAATATTTAAAAACATTAAATTTTAAAACAATTACATATTTTATAAAATTAGAGCAAGATTTTCCATTGTTCTTCGTAGTGTCATCCGTGCATTAAGTTCCCTTGGAATTCCCTTCGAAAAGAAGCAATTTAATAATTTAATTTAAATAAAAGCACGCAATTTTGCATTTAAAAATGCAAAATTGTCACAGAGATTCTTTAAAGAATCTCCGTGACACGCTTTTGGAATCAAAAACAAGAAGTATCAAATCAGTTTGTTATTAAGTTTGTGATATAAATCAGGGGCGGGTTTAGGGAGGGGGTCCTAACTCAGACTTTTCCTAATCACTTTTTTCAAATTTTAATTTTGGACGAAATAAAGTTTCTTTCGGGTCTATTTTAAACTATCATTTATTAAAGTAAACAACATGAGAAAAACTAATTCGCGTGAGTATTTGTTAAAAAGTCAAAAAATATTTTTCTGACCTCCCCTAAAAGATTTCTGAATTCGCCCCTGATATAAATGATGCTTCAATTGTATTGTGAGAAATTGAAGGATCATGAATTTGCAATTGAAGTGATAACACTAAATGGTTTTATAGTTATTAATTATATGTAACATGTGGTATTATGGAGATATACAACTTGTGATTTGGCAGAGGGGGTGCCAAAGATGGTGGGGTGCACCGGGAAATTTCCTGGTTTCCCGGTGGGCTAGTCCGCGCCTGTCATTGGATAAAAATAGTATCAGAAACAAAATACTAAAATAAAATGAGATTTCATTTGATTAAAAGAAGACTTTATTTGATTTGTCATAATATTTAAATCCTTTGCTTGTTGTTATGCAAGTATAAAAATATTGCGTATAGCTTTAATAAAAATATAAAAATAAATATAATAACTTCAAAAAACTTGAAAAGAAATCGTTAGTGAATGGCACTGGTATCAGCAATTTAATGTTTCAAACTAGCTAGCTATTTTGCTCTATATTCTGCTGGCAACGATTTTGAATATTTATTATGTTTAACCTTAAGAATTCTATAAAACAAATTTATGCAGTTCTCAGAATGATTACTACAATTAAAATGCAACAAAAAGCTATGTATAATAATATAAAGAGTTTAACACTCTTTAATTTAATTGTTCAATTAAATGTTAAATTTGAATAATAATAAATCTTCAATTTATATTATTCAAATATAACAACTTCTCTAGTCTGACAAGAAGTTTCAAAGTTTGTGTGTTTGCCCAATGGAGCAATGTAATGCTAAGAGATTCCTTTTGTCAAGAATGCAATCCAAACCAGCAAATTTTTCTTGAATTTGTCAGAAGAACAGAATACAAGCGTTTCCAGAAATATTGGTGTTGTTCAAAAATCATAGTAACAACTATTTTTTCAAAAATAGAAACCAATATACAGCCTCTTGAAAAAACAGCTGCTTTTTCAGCTATTTGCCGGTGTTCATTTTTGTGTTCTTTCAGGGTTTTTTTGATAAGGAATACTAGTTTTTTATTAATAATTTTGCATACGTGCGGTTGTGAAACAATAAATTGTTTTAATAAATCAATTTTTAGACATCTTTTTTGCTTTTTCATTTTGGTCCTATAATTTTCTTTTTTTTAGTATACTATACACATAGTAATTTTGGTTTGATTTTGGTTGAAAATAATTTACAATAAAGCTTTTATTCTTCTCTAGATGAAAATCCAAAAATGCTTACATTCGTTTTTTAAGCCAGTGCTCGAAATAATTATTTAGAGGTTGCTGATCAACACTGATTGTCAGAAAAGATAAATATTGAAAAGTAGATGATCAAATAATTTTCTGGACAATCAAATATTTTTGCTAGTTTGTATTAAAGTTTTATGTGTAGTAATTTTTGCGTCACACTTTTTACGTTTGTGCTTGATAGCGCTGCTTATTCTGCAGAATTTCCACTTTGTTTAAAATTCCGAAACAATAAAAAAATAACAAAACTTATACTGGGCTTTGTTTTAAAGTGTCACGTTATAATACAAACAAGCCTTTTAAATAACGTTGTAAATGCAATTTAGAAAGCCCTTAAAAAAAAAATTTTTATACTTTTTGTATTTTTTTTATATTATATATGCCAGACAGTTGTCTGTCATATCATAAATTTTATGATAAGTTGTTCTGCATATCCTAACTTATCATAAAAATTAACAAATAAGAAATTAATTAAGTTGATCATACAAATTACCAAATAAGAAACTAATTAAGTTGATCTTACAAATTACCAAATAAGAAATTAAGTTGATCAAGTTAACTTTTGATTTGTCATTTGATTATGCGAAATGAAACTTTCAAAACGTTAAAAAAAATTATTATCTAATCACCTTGAGATATTTTTAGCAAATTATAGATTGTCATTAACTTTAACATTTTTGTTATGAATATCTCGTCCATTTATGATTATCTTTTTTATATTTACATTACAAAATATTTTCGTTACATTTATAATATAAATATTTTTATTATATTTATGATATAAATTATATTTTTTACATTCATTTAGTTAAAACTATAGTTTTAACTAAATGAATGTAACTAGACTGTTTGCAACATTATAAACAATTGTTTATTGAAAACATTTAAAATTGATAAAAAAAAACGCAAATTCATTCATTCAATGTTTTTCAAACTTAAAGTTTATTAAAAAATGAAAAAACATGCAAACTAGATCAAAGTATATCATTCATTCAAAGTTTAATTGCAAAAATATTTTTTTCTTTTGCGTTCTACGCAATAAAAAAGGCTTTTCCAATATTAATGATTAAACTTTTTTGGTTTCGGTTACCGAAAAAAAATGATAGTCTTTTTTAAAAAAAACGAAACAAGAAATATTGGGAACTTTTAAGAAAACATCTATTGATTAAATCTTTAACGCAAAAATATTTATTTAAAAATCAAACAAAAAACTGTTTGTAACAGTTGTAACTTTCTTTTGTAAAGTTTTACTTTATTCTTAGCAAGTGTTTCAGATCCTGATTTCCTTTTCAAAGAAATAATTTTCTGCTGCTTTTTCTCGCACCTGTGTTATGATTATTTTAATACTTTTTATATAATTTTACTTCTAAAACTACTAATAATTTTAAACAAATTACTTCTAATAATTTTAAACAAAAGCAACTTTATTTTGCTTAAAGCATTATGATGTTTTATGAAGTCATCATTCTTTCTACCAATCATAAACTTGCATTATTTACTATTTTTCAAAATTTTTCACATGAAAGTTTATTGTTTCTAAATAATAAAGCAAATTAGATTCATTAAAAAAAATTCATTTCATTCAAAATAGTACTCTGGTAATAGTACAATTAATAGTCTGTGCTTAGCGCACATATTCAAGATATTCTCATCATTACTTTTCTTATATTCTCATACTTTAATCAAGAGTTAAATTTTTTTTTTTTTTTTTATTTAATGTAAAAAAAAAAGAAAAAAAAATTAGAAATGTAAAAAAAAAAGCATATTAGAAAAGCTGCTTTAAATTATAAATCATAATTTTTGCTATCAGCTAAGTCAAAAATTTTGTAAATATTTTATATTTACATTGATGTCATTAAATATATCTTTAAATTATAAGTCACCTTGATAAATGCAGACATCATCAAATCTTATAAAATCACCACTTCCATAAAGATTAAACTAAATATAAACACAAAATAATTTAAAACATTACAAAATTATTAAAAAAAAAAACTCAAAATCTGCTGTATATAGCATAACATGCTATATGCCATTGTATAACTATAAATTACAAATAAAATTAAATGAAGTTGTAATTAAAGGAAAAAATTTAGCTGATTTCAAGAAGCAAAAACAATGGAAATGAGTTTACTATGCAATCTGTACAGCTTTTTTATAAACCTAAGGGCAGGCCTTGTTTTAAAGCGTTACGTCTAGAGCGATTTACGTACGCCTTAAGCGCTTTTTACGTACGCGTAGAGCTGTTTTGGTTAAGCTACTTTTTATCATTTTTTAACTTTTAAATTAGCGGTAACATAAAAGAAGTAATTAATTTTGAAAAAAACCACATTAACTTTTAAATAACGATATGTATTTATTTAAAAAAAAAATTTACTTTAAAAAAAATTGTTGTAACTTTTCATCGTGATATATCTTTCCTTTTTATAGCAATTAATTTGACGCTGAACTTTTTATCCAAATATTTAGCAACATGAAAAATTGTTTGTCAATCCCTAACTACAAATTTTTTGCAATGTTTTAAATAAAAAGTAGTAATTTTTTAAAGTTTTTAGTAAAAAACTTTTAAAAAATCTATATTCCATATTTATTAATACAGAATATAAAAGTTTTTTGTAATATAGATTTTTTATGAATTTTTTACTGAATTTATAATAAAAAACATTTGCAAAAAAATTTGTAATCAAGAATTGACATTTTTTTAAATAAAATCTCAAAAAATGTCTTAATATTTTTGTTATCATGATAACAAAAATATTAAGACATTTTTTCGAGATGTTAAAAAAAATGCCTTTGCTTTTCTTATTAGTTTAATATTGTATAGCTTATAGTTAGTTTAATAGTATATAGCTTTTCTTATTAGTTTATTAGTATATAGTTTAAGTTATGCGGGGGGAGGGGTTCGGCACAGAAAAAATAATTACCTGTTACTCGCAATATTTGAATGAAGACAATTTGTTAAAATTCTTCTGTGTGCGATTCAATAAGTTTTTTTTTCATAAATCAAGTTATAATATAAGGTAAAGAAATCATGAGTAGACTACAACACCCGCTGATGACACTAATATTACGTTGAATATATTTATATAACAGAGGTTTTATTATGCACGCGCACATTACAGGTTCCGTTAAATAAATACTAAGGCACGTTTTAGTTTAATGACAGTCTCCATTTTTTACTAATGAATATGTATTTTTCTTTATAAAACAAAACAAACTAGAATATAAAAACCTTGTTTATTTCTATTATCTCTAAATTGTTTAAAGTTCGAATATGGATTGTATTGTGAAGGACAAAAGATTTACTTTAAAAACTTTTAAATCTTGGGATTTTGCCGATGCAATGATCACAGAAAAAGAGAAGACTTACGTTATTAAAATCAAATGTAAGCTATGTGATCTTCATCAAAATAAAATATTATCCAAAAACAATAGCGCCGTAAGGGCAACTGCCCAACGGTTTATAAATAATACAAGTCATGTTAAAATATTTTAACATGTTACTATATTTTAATTAAGTTGATATATAATTAAAAATAAAAATATAGTTCAATAAATAAATTAAATTTATTCTTAACAAAGATTACCTCGTATTTATTATTCTTTTTATTTTATTAAGTTAAATTGCTTACAAACGAAAAAAAAAGAAAAAGAGTTTTGTAATTATACGTAGAATGAAAATACTTTTGAGTTTGTTTATAAGTTAAGGAACTTAATTTTTAATAAACAAATTTTTACGAATGTTTATTATAAACAGATACGATTCAAATTATTAAATATACTTAAATTATTTCAGTTGAGTAATTTTTTAAGTTTGCACAATTAAAGTTTGGCGTAGAAGTATTTATTTTTTTGTTTTAAGAATAATTAACAAAAGAGTTTGCATAATTAAGACTTTTATATTTAATTTAATTTTTTGTTTTTAATTTCCTAAAATTAAAAAAAAAAAGATTTAATCGTTGAAAACGATTTTTCTCTATAGCTCTGTTTCTTTGTGATTAGTTTAAAAAGTTAAATATTTTTACAATAACATAAAAAATTTATGAATTAAATTCCTAGCGAACGCATTCTAAACTACGTATCAAAAATATGCTCAAAGCAGACAAAACTTTTTTATATTTTTATAAAATGCAAGTTGAAACGCTTTTAATAATTTAAAAAATATTTAAAAACTTAAATTTTTCTTTGCTAGTCAAAACAAAATCGTTGTTTAAATAATTAACATGGGTTTGCGTTTATCAATGTTAATATTTTTTGTTTACTCTAGAAATTTTTAAAAATAAAAAAAATCATTATTATTTTTTATTCAATAACAATTAAAAACAATTATTCAAAAACAAATTTCAGAAATAATTAATATGTATATGTATATATATATATATATATATATATATATATATATATATATATATATATATATATATATATATATATATATTACTAAATAATATTGAACTAAAATTAATAATAAAATAACAAATGAAAACATTACAAAATTTTCATAATAAATTTATATTTAAAACGTTTATAGTTTATATTAGAGTTAATTGTTAAATTGAACTAGTTTGCGGTTATTTATTTATTGCGGTAGTTAAAACACTTAACGTCTATAAAAAAAAATAAAGATAATTTTATGACGTCAAAATCGCGTTAAGCTAATGCATTAAGCACTTTTTTTATTTAAAACAAGGCCTGTAAGGGTATAAAATTAGCATTTTATATTATTCCTTAAATAGATCAACCATTATGTTACAAAATTAAATTTCAATGCTAAAAAGTGTTGACCTTTACTAATAATTTACCAAAAAATAAAAAATAAAAAAGTACATATAAAATCTTGTCAACAACTTTCAATTTAGAAAACTAAAATTTAACAATTCAACAATTAATTTTTTTAAGCTCTAAAACAGCAGACATGACTACAGACATGACTACAGTCAACAGTATTTTACTCAACTAATGCAAGATTTCATTTTTTTTTTATAATGGGTCTTTTATTGGGTGGGAAAAAGGTTATTATTTGAACTATAATGTTTGTGTTAAAATCCAATCAAACTGTGTAAAAAACAATCAAATCAAAGGAAAATTTCACCATTTTACACTTTAAATTACATTTACATTACACTTTACATTAACTTTTGTTTTTTAACCATTGATTGGTAAACTTTAAAACTCAAACCTAATAATAATCCAAACAAACTTAAACATATTTTTTTGGAATTGCTGAAATAACCATCTAATCAAATACTCAACATTTTAAAAGAAACAACTGTACTGATTCCCATTCAATAAAAAAATTGTTTTACCGAAGCCAAAAGTAAAAACAGATTTTAAAAAAATGAGTTAAAATTCTTCAACTTTTTTTCATTAAACAACAGACTCTTAACTTTTTTAAGATTATTTACTCTCAACAGTATGCAAGGCACTGGGTACTACTTTTCAAGTTAGGAGTTAAGAGAACACAAAGAATATTGTTTAATAGAACAAAACCAAGAAACAGAAAAATTAAAAAACTGTAAACTGTTTGAGCCAGGTAAACATGAAGGTGGATGAATATTCTAAAGTTTCTATAAGAATTTAATAATGAATGATAATCTAAGAATGACTGAGTAAAAGTATTTCTATTCATTAATAAAGGAAAATTACCAACATGGTCAGAATTATCAACAGTAATCAAGTGGATTTTATTTGGATTAAAAGTCATTAGCCATTTCAGTCAGAGGAGATACCACACTCAGGGTCAGTGGAGAAGTCTGTACAAAGTAATCAAAGCATGATGACTTTTTGATAAGATTGGACTATATAGTTGTATATTCAGCCAATAGAGTCGCCTAAGTTTTGCAGGAAGTTCAATAATATAGATGAAAAAACAATACAGGACCAAGGATGAAACCTTGTGGTACAATAGAAACTACTAAAAATGGAGAAAAGTGTTAGCCTTTAAGGATGGCTTTAACACTGGAATCAGAAAAAAAATTTAATGATTTTAAAATTTTTTTCTACATACATCATATGAAATGAGTATATCAATATACTTGATCAGCTTATCAGACTTGTTTTGCTGCTTGTTTAGCGGAAAAATTTTATTTTACATTTCTGATGCATGTTAAAACCTGTCTGCTAAAACAGTTAACAAGTCAGCTGTTTTGAAAGGATCTATTGATTGTCAGAAAGTTAAACTCAAGATAATTAAAGACTCAAAGACCTTGCTAATAATGGATTGGAATAATGAATAAAAGACTGATTAAAATAATGGATAAAAGACTGGAATAATGTAGAAAAGATTCATTGGAATACTAGAAAGTAGACTCATTGGAATAATGGATAATAGATTGGAAAATAGTTAAAGGTGTCAGAGCAATCTCTGAAGTTTTTATAAAAATGGAATCACTGATAACATGTTCAGCCACAGATACCATTTTTAGCCACAGATACCATGTTCCAGCAGGCAGGAAAGCAAGATTCAGTTAAGAAGTTATTGAATTTTTTAGAGAGCAATGTCAAGATTTAACAAAAAAAAAAAAAAATTACAAAAATGATCTCTAGTCTTGAGATTTTAATTGTATTATTATTTTAGGCTTTTAATTTTAATTGAGTGTTCAATTTTAGTTTTTTTTTTTTAGTAGTTGTGAAAAAAGTTTTTAATATTTTTAAAAAAGATTTAGCATTAAAAAAAAAATCTAAGGCTTGGATAGAAATGTTGTCTGAAACTGAAGCAGTAGTTTAAAAGAAAAAAACATTAGCAACCGAAGTCAGAGTGATTTAGAAGTTTAACAATGGATTAATAATAGATAAAATTTCTTTTGTTAATGACACTGCTGCATCAATTTCTTGCAATACTAAAAAGACATTTGTTCTCAAGAGAATTGTTTTTTGTAAAAAAAGTCAAAAAAAAAACTATGGGGTAGAGTCTATAAACTATTGGGTAGAGTAAGGCCATCAATTCTCCATTTCTGCCTGAATCCAGAAGATTATGTAGGAGGAGCCATTATCATTGAAGAGACAAAAGATATCAGATAAAGAACAGTTATGAAAAAATTAATGAAACAAATCTCAATCTTCTTAGGATGAAAAAGAAGTATGAGATAAAATATTTAGAGATATCATAGCATGGCCCTAAGCACCCAAAAAGAACAAGGATAAACTGAGCACAAACTCAGGTCAGAGACAAGACAAAGAAATAAAGTGAAGTGATTAGTGTTGTCTCGAAAAAGATTTGCAAAGTCAACAAAGTTATCTTAGTAATAGATTGAGATATAATATTTAAGTGCAAGCAGCATAAATAATACAAGTCATTCAGTGTGATGATGTCACTGTTTCCCTGATTCTGTAACGCTGTATAGATAGCGCAGTAAAGATATTGCTACTGTCACATAAATTTTTTTACACTCACACTACATAATGCTTCCATGTAAAAAATACTCTTATAATTATAACAACAAAAATAAAAGTATTTAAAAGTGTTGAGTTGTTTATTAAAAAAGATTAAAAATGACACTTTAAAAATTTCAAACTAACTTTAAAATTTAACACAATAACAAGTTCCAAAAATAAAAATAACTTACATTAAAACCAAGCGAAGTAAGAGAATATCTTGCATTTAAAACAACCCAATTAACTGAATATGAGCTATCTGTAAGTACACTTAAAACTTTGTAAAAACCTCCGTTAGTATTTGCCACTCCAAAATCTAAAGAATAAGAAAAGATATAAATTTTAGTATAAAAACGTTTTTAGTAAAAAAAATTTTAGTATAAAATATTAGAGAAGAACTCTCTACAACATCTGTAATAAAAACAGAGAAAGTACAAATATTTTTTAAAACTATAAATATTATGTTAAATACATTATAATGCATGCAAATAAAGTGAAAGTATAAATCAATCCTACTTATAGATAGGTAACATATGACATACATATTAAAAACAGGTATCATATAAGCTTTTTTAAAAAGTAAAATTTGAAACAAACTAAATGAGTTGTTGTTAAAAATAATGAAACAAACTAAATCAGAAAATGAAAATTATTCAGAAAATTGCAAAAAATATAAAAATAATAAAAATAAAATTAAATCTCACAATATGTTCCATTTTTAAAGAAATACCCAATTGTTATATAAATATCAAAATTTTTTATATCATCATATAAGCTTGCAGGAACATCAACTCGAAATGAACCATTATCTCCATATACATAACCAGGACCATTGCCTTAAAAAAAATAAAAAGTACAAGCTTAACTAGAGTTAACTAAAAGTTACATACATTTGCATCATAGTCTGTAAAATCAAATAAATAAATAAATTTGAATTTTAAAATAAAGCTCTATTATTTTTATTTTCAAGACCACGTGTTTTATATTTTAAAAACCATACATTTTTGATGTGTCCCAATATTAAAAAAAATCTTTCTTTTTTAATGGTATCTTAAAAGAAACAAAATAAAGTTCTAACTTTAAAAAAAAAATTTAGGTTAAAAAGTATAAAAATCTAAAATTTTTTTAAAAATTCTTTTTCAACATTATTTTTATTTGTGAAAATAAAGTTTTCAGTTTAATTAGTTTTATTAATTTTTTTTGTTTTTTAAGTTTAAGTTTTATTTATTTTTAAAATTCAATATTTTTAATTAAAAAAAAAAAATCCTTATTAAATATAATTTATTTAACGTACATATTTTTTATTTATATATTTTTTTTATCATTAAGTTTACAGTAACTATACCTTTTGATTAAGAGGTGCCTTGAAGCACTTCAAAAATTATTAACCTTTATTAAAAGTTAAATGAACAGAATTGCTTTTATTTAAATCAAAATGAAAATTAAAAATAATAAATAAATAAGTAATAGTAAATACTAGAGATGTCATGAGTATTCGATGACTATTTGGTATTCGGCTTATTTGGCTGCTTTTTTTACAATTTTAATAACTTTTTATTTTTATTATTAAAAAATAATTTACATAGTTGATACTTATAATCAAAAGTGGTAGGTTATGATAAAATAAGAGTGTGATTGATGTAACAGTCAACAAATAATGCAAACTGTGACTTGGTCACAAGTTTTTCACAAATGAAACAAAAAAACCAGGACTTTGGAGTTAGAGTTGTGTAGTCGGAGTTGCAACATTTTATGCAGAGACGGAGTCACTTAACAAAATCACAACTTCAACTACAATAATAAAAAACTTCTTGGTATTGCAAATGCATGTACAAAATACTTAACCTTCAAAGAACTTTTCATATGTTTTTTAAAGAACTCAAAAAAATTTTCAAAAATTTTGCTTTGGAGTCAGAGTTGGAGTTAGAGTCAGAGTCATACTCTAAAAATTTCAACAATTGGAGTCGGAGTTGGTACTTTTTTTTTATGACTCCACACCCCAGCAAAAAACAAACGCAGCCTAGCTAACATATACACTTTAATGAAGCAGTTTGGAACGTTCAAAATTGACAAAGTGTCATCAAATATTTGGCATTCATTATTTGGCAAAATTACTATTTGAGACACCTTTAGTAAATACACTTATTAAACACTTATGTTTTTTATTCGAATAGTATTTGTCTATGTAATCATATATACTATATAGACTCTATATAGTATATTAGGTTGTATATATATAATAATAAGTAATTGAATACAAGACGCAAACATTTAATAAGTGTGTTTACTATTATTTATTATTTATTTTAATAAGTACCTAATATTATTATTTATTTTATTCAAATAGTAGTTGTCTTTTATATTATAACTATTAAACTACAAGATAAATAATAGACAAATTAATCAGTTATATATTCTGAATTGAATATTCAAGGATATTTACAAATAGTAAAATAACTAATATTAAGTTAACACCTATAATGATAATAATGTATAACAAAGATACTAATAATGTTAATTTTTACAACATAATAAGAATATGACAAATTAACAAAACAGAACATCAGTATTAATACTGATAATATAGTAATAATATAAACAATATTAGTGACAATAATAATAATAATAATAATAATAATAATAATAACATGTTATTTTAACAATAGTAATAATAATATAATAATTATAACAATTTAAATAAATTGGTATTACTTTCCATACAACAATTATTCACAAATACAAACTTACAATTACAAAGAGTAATAAACTGACAAAAAACAAACAGATGTAAAAAATAAAAGGTGTAAACATTTGATAAGCGTAGTTACGTAATTTTAATTTTTCAAATACTTTCATTTGCAATCAAATGGAATTCCATTTGATTGCGAATGAAAAAATATATATTATAAAAATATTATATATTGAGAAAATTTGAACATTTTAAGTTACAATATCATTCTGTTGTGGATAAATGCAAAAAACAGACAAAATTATTAGTAATTTAAAAAACTAAAAATTTCTTATTTTTATATTTTTAAATTTATATTAATAATTTTAGTATTGAATAGGTAAGAAAATCTTTGAAACCTGTTAACTGATTACAATGTTTATACTACTTTGTGATAATCTAACTGCACAAACTAGTGAATTATTTTGTGCAGAGGTAAAGTCAATTAATAGATTAGTTTGGTATGGTGTATCTAGTTCTATGGATATATGGCAACCTGTAGATTGTGGTATAGGTCAGATGCTCAAACAAATTGTTGCAAATATTCAAGAGTGACACGACTCCAACTACAATAGTAAAAAACTTCTTGGTATTGCAAGTACATGTACAAAATATTTAACCTTCAAAGAACTTTTCATATGTTTGTCAAGGATGACGATGACAATCCTAAACTTTGGATGGAAAATGCAGAAAAAAAACTGGATGTTGCAAAAACTGAAGTGCAAAGGATTTTAATTACTCATAGGGTAGAAGAGGCTTATCAACAAAATAATGCTTGATTATGGCAGAAGAAAGAGAAGAATATAAAATAAGTTAAGAAGGTTTTGCAAACTATGCTGTACCACCTCCATCGCCAATGAAATCTGGTAAAGAACCCATGTTAAAGAGCCCTAAGACATGTTACCAGAAGAATCATTGATTGAACTAGTGGAAGACTCTAAAGACCGAGTTTTTGAAAACTGTTTGGTTAATTAGGACATTTGTGGATATTACAAATGAACAGTACATTGGTAGAACTACATGGTATAACACAAAATTAGAAGCTATTGTATTCTGTTTAAGTAAGAATCCGAAGATTATATTATTTTGAATGATATTAATGAAATTCAACTAATTTTTATTGATCCAATATAAAGCATTTTATCTTACTTAATAACATGGGTACAAATTTACTTCTTATATAAAAAAAATGTGTATTCAAATTTTATTTTATTCACTATTTCAATTTTTTAATAATCTGAAATTTAAGAAAATTTTAAAAAAACTTTTAGAACTATATTTAGAAAAAAGTACTTTTTTAAATAAGAAACCAAGCTAACTCGTTTGCTTGGTTTCTTTTTTAAAAACGTGTATTGCTAAATAGGGAAGCAAAACATATGGTTCAAACAAGTAGTTTTGTCTAAAATGTCTTAGATTGTCTAAAACTTTGGTATCAAGCGAAAAAAACCTTAGATTGTGATTTTTGTTGTGATTACTTCTGGATAGTTAAAAATTTTATCCAGTCAACTTTTAAGAGAATAATTTACTTTGATAACAGCTTTCAAAGATTTCAAACTACATTTAAAAAATTTTTCTTTTTTAATGCAAAGGTACCAGAGTTGTTAGCCCTCAGCCTTGGCCTTAGTCTTCAAAAAAATATACATAAAATTAAAGAATTCAAAGTTTTCATTCTTTATTTTTATGTATTTTTGTTTTTGGCTTTTATATATATATCACAAGAATATAAGTAAATAAACTTCTTATTGACTTTGTTGAATTCTGCGCAAAACCTTGGTTTATTTTTACAACATGTAACTTTATTGTCACAGCAATTGTTACCTACAGTTTTGTTATTAATTGACTTTAATATAAGGTAAAAATTTACGTCTTTGGTCTTGAAAATGTTTGCATAGGCCTTGGCCTTGAAACTCTTATTCTTGACCTTGACCTTAAAACTCTTGGCCTTGGTCTTGGCCTTGCTTCTTAACAACTCTTAAAAGCACTATTTTGACTTGCCACTCAAATAATTTTACTACTAAGACTGTAACAAAATTTTTAATGATATTCGGCTTCATTCTTCCTCCAACTATTCAATTATAACTCCTTGATCTAATTAATTTGTTAAATTTTGATCAAAATTTTTTTGAACAATTCAACATCCTAAGTATTTTATCCATTTTTTTATTTATAATGACGTTATATTCGTCTTTTTAATAATTAGATCTGTAAAATAATGTTTTTTAATATTCATTTAAAATTTGCAACCCCAATGTATTTTGCTTGCAGTTTTGACAAATTACAACAACAATGTCAATTGTTAGTCAATGAATTCAAGTGTCTTGTGGTATTGGCAGAATCCACCAATACCACAAGACACTTGAATTCATTGACTAACACACCCTTAGATCCTGAATGAGAAGTATTTTCAATATAGCCTATGTTCTTGTTTTCTGTCTGGACCACTGATTGTAATGTGATTCGCCTTGATATCGTACAACTTGTGGTCAACTGCCTTGGTCATATCATCTAAGCCAACAGTAACAACATCACAAGCATCTTTACTGAGAAGATATTTTGCTGCCACCTGGAGATTGGGGTAAGATGCATATTTCAAATATCTATTTATAGTTCTCACCAGTGTTGTAAAAAATACTTTCAAAAAAGTATTTAAAATACAAATACAAATACTGGATCAAAAAAGTAATTTAAATACAAATACAAAATACACTCAAGTGAAGGTATTTAAAATATAAAATACAAAATACTAAATATAAAGTATTTAAAATACAAAGTACTTTTAGAAAGTGCTTTAAAGCAACTAAAGTTTAAAATAACAATAAAATCTAATCTAAATGTTTTTTGGCTTTCAGCAACAACAATTATTCAAAATGTTTATCTGATTAACAATTGCAGCGTGGCACAGCAATTAAAGCTCCTTTAGAAAATAGCCATTCAACTGGAGCAGACGATGGAACAGTTGCATTAACATTTCTGAAAAGTTTCTAAACAAATGGATATTGTTCCTAACATGCTGATGATGTGTATAAACCATCTTCAAGATATTGTAAACACTCGATAGTGACTACTGACTGACTAACTTGTATGTAGCTTGTTTTTGGTGATTAAATGGCATCATAAGTTGAATTCCATGGAGTCTCCCCTGGTGTCCTCAACGTAACTTTAGTTAAATTCTCCACAGCATCCGATGCTTATGTGCTTCGGCTGACACATGACCACAGTTTTAAGCAATTAGCCATTGCTCCTTTGTACTGTTGTTTATATCAACTTCGTCCATTTTTAATCAAGTTCAGAATGTCACTTGTAGCAAGCAGGTTCAAAGTATAACTAGCACATCTCATGTTCTTTGGTAAATATTTGTGTTACTTGTTTATTCTTGCTCATTTGTCAGAATGGTGTCAACATTAACCATCTCCACTACATATGTATTTTCTTCATCTGATGAACTATGTGGTTCTGCTGATTCTAATGATATGGCATTTTCTCTATCATCTAAATTGCTATCATCTTGACATTCATTAAATGCTTTGACAAAATTTGAACCATTGTCAGTCACAGTAAAAGCTATAATGTGATGATCAAGCCAAAAGTCTGAATGTATATTAAAAGGTTGCTCTGCGATTGCGTCAAATATATGATTTCTTTTAATTTTTGCAGGCAAGCGCAACAGTCATTCAAGATAAATCTTCTCTGATCCAGTGAGCCATAACTCCCACATAGCTTCTTTTTAAACAGCTCCATATGTCTGCTGTAATTTATATAGAAACTGACTTCTGAATGTAATCTCTAATTGTTTTTAATGTAATTTCAAATTTACTATCGAGTTTTTTCTAAGAGTTAGACGAGGGATGAGGGAAAAAGACTGGTGACTAAATCTTTGAACAGTTGTTTTTTAACTGCTATTAGTGGTCGAAATTCACTTATAATGTAGTTGGTAATTAAATCAGTTTTTGCACCTATCCAAAACTTTTTTTCATCAAAAAATTGGTTATTTTGAAATAACGTCCATCTAGGATTGAAGAAAGACCTGGTGTTCTTGATTTTAATCTTATGATTCTAGAGTCAGACGACTGAATCTCACTAGAATCTGAATGGATAAATAAGGATAAATAAATAAAAATAAATAATAATAAAAGATAAATAAAAAAAAACAATTGCTTTTACTCAGCATTTTATGTGAATAAAATATTTAGCTATTTTGCTCAAAATTTTAATTATGTAAAGCTAAGCAATAACTCAGCATTTTTGGAGTAAATTATTCAGCTTTACGCGAATAAAAGTTTGAGCAAAATTGGCTAAAATCTTATTTAGCTATTTTTTTTCACCCGGGCTAAAATCAGCTCTGCTTTATATAATATCAGCTAAAAGAACTTTAAATAAAAAAATTATAAAGTATTTTGTATTTTGAAAAACACTGAAAATACAAAATACATCCAAAAATGTATTTTTAATACAAATACAAAATACTTGATTGAAAAAGTATTTGAAATACAAAATACAAACACTTCACAAGTATTTAAAATAGGTATTTAAAATACTAGTAATTAAAATACTTTACAACACTGGTCCTCACTGAGGCAAAAATATAGGTGAAATCTCTAATAGAGTGACATCTTTCCAGGTAGAGGGCAACTGTGCTCTTTTCCAGTTCATCTAAATCTTACTCAGAACCACTCAATTCTTCAACTAGCCAATTTGAATTGGTTGTCCATTTCTGACCAAAAATGATGTTGGAAGCTTTAATGATGAGACCAACTACGTCACCACAATGATTTTGTGGCTGCATAAGAACTGGATTGCGCATCTCATTATATGTTTACCCAAACATTTATGACTAGTTCTCACTGGAATCTTTGGGAATATGTCTCCTGGACTAGTTGGGTTGTTTCTTGAAGACTTGAACTTGAAGACTTGAAGACAGTGTTTCCGGTATGATTTGAAGGAATCAAGTTAGTTCTTTAAACATCATCCATGCCAAGGGCATCCATATGCTGCAGACTATATATATATATATATATACATATATATATATATATATGTATATTTGTATATATATATATATATATATATATATATATATATATATATATATATATATATATATATATATATATATATGTATATATATATATATATATATATATATATATATATATATATATATATATATATATATATATATATATATATATATATATAATATATAAATTTGGGCACTTTTTTTTCACAGGTTTTGGGGGGACTTCAACCCACTAGCTACTGTATATATATATATATATATATAAATATATATATAAATATATATATATACATATATATATATATATATATATATATATATATATATATTTATATATTGTACATATATATATCAACAATTATAAAATGTATTCTACAAAATAGAATGCTCAATGTTCTTAAAAAAAACAGAGCAATTATGAAGTAGGAGAAAATCACTTAGCAAAATTTTTTTTCATTTAACATTGTGTTTCATCAATAAAGACTCATCAGAAATTCCTGATGAGTCTTTATTGATGAAACACAGTGTTAAATGAAAAAAATTTTTACCTGATGATTGCTAAACGCATGAAACTTTTAGTAGTAAAAATTTTGTAGTTATTTTTTATTTAACTTTGTCAAACAAAAAAAAACAATTTATATATTTATATAAAAAAAACTTTATATTACCTAATAAAAAAACTTATATACTAAAAACTTACTTGGAGTAAAAGAATTGTTTGGAAGTCTTGAAGATGGAACATCTATACTTTTGACAAAACCTGATATTTGATAGCTGCAATTTTGTTTATTAAAGGAACATGCTACTATACGATTAACAAACCCACCTTAATAAAAAAGTATATAATAAATTAGATTTATATATATATATATATATATATATATATATATATATATATATATATATATATATATATATATATATATATATATATATATACATATATATATATATATATATATATATATATATATATATATATATATATATACATGTATATATATATATATATATGTATATATATATATATATATATATATATATATATATATATGTGTATATATATATATATATATATATATATATATATATATATATATATATATATATATATATATATATATATATATATATATATGTATATATCGATTGATTTTTAATGTTGTATTACAATAATAATACAAAACTCTATTTCAGCTATGAGTGCTTAATAATAAATAAAGTAAACAACAATAATATATATATATATATATATATATATATATATATATATATATATATAATATATATATATATATATATATATGTATATATCGATTGATGTTTAATGTTGTATTACAATAATAATACAAAACTCTATTTCAGTTATGAGTGCTTAATATTAAATAAAGTAAACAACAATAATATATATATATATATATATATATATATATTATATATATATATATATATATATATATATATATATATATATATATATATATATATATATATATATATATATATATATATATATATATATATATGTATATATATATATATATATGTATATATATATATATATATGTATATATATATATATATATGTATATATATATATACAATATTTTATTTGTATTACAATCAATATATTATTAGCCATACAATTGTATGATTGTATTCAAGTTGTTTTATTAGCAACCATGGCACAATAGTAAGTTTGGAGTCATCCACAAATTGTCACGCAATTTTCGATCATTTTTGACCCCTCTCCCCTCCCCCTCCCTGGTTAGAACATCTTAACTCTTTAGTATCAAGCCCCATACAAGTTGTCACAAAACTAAAAACCCCTCCTTCCCCTCTCCCCTATAGACCATGATGTAATATACAGACAACCCCTTTTCTTGATTTCAAGAACCTTTAGTTCTTAAATAATTTGTGAACATGCTAGTTTAAATCGAATAATAAATAAAAAAAACTTTTTTTAATTATCTCCTCATACTATTCCTTATACAGACAAACAGGAAACAGAAATGAAAAGGTTTACATTCCTTTACATATATATTCACCTCATTAAGGCAGGGAAGACCACAAGAGTCAAGATAAATATATATTTTTTTTAAATATAAATGACACAGCCTATTTTAACCAAATAACTCTAAAACGAAAAATTTAACAAAAAAGTCTAAAGTGAAAGAAATAAATTTAGTGTAGTGGACTTTTAATCCAATTTTTTATCCAGTTTGTGTTTATATCCAACAATCTTGCTATATAACCTTTTTATGATGTTATTTTATGCAAGTAGAATGAAATTTAAATAGTGTTTTTAAAATAGTTTCATTATATTTCATTATTCAAAATTAGTATCAAATTAAAATAAAAAGTCTCTTGATATTTAACAGTTATGTACAGTTAAACTCGATACAATTTTGAAACAATTTAAAAGTTAGTTTTGTAAGTGTTTGCAGATATTTGTAGTTTAATTTTACTGTAGTGATTACAACATTGTAATGCACCCTTGTCTCACTCTCCCCCATCTTCTAACAAATGTATAAAACACACAATCAAAACAAAAATTAATCGAAATGCTATTGAATTTTTTGGAGACTATAAATAGATGACTGACTATGTTCTATACTATACTATATAAAATTCTATACTATATAAAACAATGCTATTCTATACTATATAAAACAATGCTAACATTTACAAGCATTCTTTCTACAACCAATACCCTCACAAGTATTATCGCTCAACTTAATGCCAACTAAAAAAGCAACTGACTAAAGATATAAATACAAGCCTCAGAAATAAGAAAAATGAGGTCGGCAATAATTATAGTGCAGCAGATGAGCATAACATTTGTGCAAAAGTAGATAAAAGCATGAAACTTTTTTTACACATAGAAAATAAGTTGACAATGCATTTAAGATATGGTGGCATGTTGAGTTAGTTGGATCTCCTTAGTAAAAATCAAAACTGGATTTTGTGTTTATTACAAAATGCAGACCACATATTTCGGCACGAGTGCATTATAAAATATTTATATAATTTTTTATAAACATATATTCAATAAATTATTTTGTTTATAAATAATCTTGTTTTTATTTAAATTAGTATGTTATCCGTCATATATCCAAGAACTTCAACAACATTTCTGGTCTGTGTTTTGTAAAAAACGAGAAAATAATTTTGTTTAGTTAAACAATGACCTATTTATACTAGACTGTGAAGCTTCAAAATTTATTATGGAATTAGTTTTTGATTAATCAATTTGAGATTCGATTCGAATTTAAAAAAATGATTCAAGTTTTCTAATTCTTGCTTGTTTTGTTTTTGTTGTGCTTTTTTTTAGATATTTGACGCTTTGGCGCTATCAAATTAATTTATCCATAAATATCTTTTTAATCAAACGTAAACCAGGCCAAGAAGCAGTTTAAAGTCTACCAAATCTACCCGAAAGAATCAATCAATTAAAGTTTATTTTTTATTAAAATTTTTTGCTTTATTTGTATGTATATATATATATATATATATATATATATATATATATATATATATATATATATATATATATATATATATATATATATATATATATATACAAATAAAGAATTCATTTCTAAAAATTCTTTTTACAATATATAAAAATATTGTAAAAAGAATTCTTTAGAAATGATTACTTAAGCTATTTTAAAAAATATTTATATTTTTTTTTTCCAAAGGGGAGTTAATGTAACTATTATTTGAGCTCACTTATTTTTAAAGTTTTTTAGGAGAAACTTATTTTCGTGCTGCATTTAGATATCAATTCCAATTTTATATATATATATATATATATATATATATATATATATATATATATATATATATATATATATATTATATATATATATATATATATATAAATATATATATAAATATATATATATTTATATATATATTTATATTTATAAATATATATATATATATATAAATATATATATAAATATATATATATTTATATATATTTAAATATATATATATATATATATATATATATATATATTTATATATATATATATATATATATATATATATATATATACACATATATATATATATATATATATATATATATATATATATATATACATATATATATATATATATATATATAATATATATATATATATATATATATATATATATATATACGTATATGTTTTTACTTTTATTTTCATAAAAATAAAACTAGCGATCTCCAATTTACTCTCATTTAATTCTAATCAATATAAATATTTTGTAAACAAAATAGTAAGAATTAGTAATGTTAACAAAGAACAAATAAAGTTTGAAATGGAATCACGCACGGAACAGAAAAACTTCTATTTTAGTTACTAGATAAATAAACTTTAATTCCTCTGACAATATAAGTTTCACAAGTATACTTTTTTTTTAAATAATATTTTAAACATTAGGAAAGATTTCCAGAAAGTTACAGGATAGCACTCTTAATCATAGAGTCACAGCAATCATTTAAATGCAGTTTATGAATGTTCAAGCACGGAAGTCACGCACGGATGTTGCAAATTTGTCAATTTAATGTAGTTATTTTTATGAAAATAAATTGCTAATGAGTATTTTAAGTGAAATATTATACTTCTGCGACTCATATTTAACATATTTTCAATGAGAAACGGCAGTCATCAATTATTTCTAGCTAGAGTATGGCGTTTTGAAAATTATTGTATATTTTTCAAAATGTAGCGATATTATTACTCAAAAAAATAAAATTGTAAAAATATGTATATTTAATTTATTCAGATAGCCTAAAATATGATAAAAATATTTTAGTTATAATTGTTCCTTAAGAAAACCAAAATAGTATGCATATTGCATAAAGTCCTAGCTTTTAATTGCTAAAACAAAATAAAAATAAAAAATCACGCACAGAAATGGAAATGCCCATATATATATATATATATATATATATATATATATATATATATATATATAGATATATATATATATATATATATATATATATATATATATATATAATATATATATATATATATATATATACATATATAGTCTACGAGATCTACCCAAAAGAGGCAATCCATCATGTTTATTTTTTATGAAAATTTTTTGCTTTAAGTATATATGTATACATATATAAATTGCCTCTTTTGGGTTGGGTTTTGGGTATATATATATATATATATATATATATATATATATATATATATATATATATATATATATATATATATATATATATATATATATATATATATATATATATCTACTATCAAAGTTAATTGAGAAAGTGCAAATTAACAATTGCATTTTAATCACTAAGGTACAATATGGAATACAATTTGGAATAAAAACAAAGTTGCACATCTTTCATTAAACATTCTCTTTTTACAATGTATTCTCCAATAATTAGTTTTGGAAGTGCAAGAGGGATTTTATCTTTTTATGGAAGCTATGAAAAATAGTATGCTTAGTTTTAGTTAAATTAATAAATTCTAAATAATTTAAAAAAAAAAATAAATTAAACACTCTCTTTTTACAATCTATTCTCCAATAATTAGTTTTGGAAGTGCAAGAGGGATTTTATCTTTTTATGGAAGCTATGAAAAATAGTATGCTTAGTTTTAGTTAAATTAATAAATCCAAGACGGCGTTAACTGCCATCTTGGGTTCAAGCCAGTTCCGGTCATGCTGCACTTTGCCACCATATCTTAAAAATATTAGCATAATTTCATGAGTTATTGGTGAAATTTTCATGGTTTTATCCATATATGCACAATTCCAGTCATTATAATTGCTAATCTGGTGCGCTATTAGCTGACC